TCCATTCACTGCCAGATCTTTATTAGAAAGTGCTAAAACTTCAACAACCAAAAATGTATTTTATTTTATCGGAAAAAATTACCATAATCATAATCATGCTGATGCCTATCAAACTCTTCATAATATTTTTTCACAGAGTCTCTGAAAATCATAGAATTGGCGGGTCTCGGCGTACAACCATCCTCCTCATCCTCATGTCCCTTAGTCCTTGGACCGTTGGGGCGTCACAGATGACATGTGAACCATCCTCCTCCATTCCTCTCCGTCTTCAGCACTACCCACTGCATCGCCCAGTGTTAGGCCTGTCCACTCTTTGATGTTATCCTCCCATCTTTTTCTTTGTCTTCCTCTTCTTCTCCCTCCTCTTGTGGTCCCCTGCAATATTTCTTTGGCAAGCCCTTGTTTCCTTGTTACGTGGCCGTACCATTGTAGTTTGCGTTTTTTCCCAAACACCAGTAGGTCATCGTACTCCCGAATTGCCTACGAACTCTTTCTTTCACTGTTTCATTGGAGATATGGTCCCTATAGCAGATGCAAAAAATGCTTCTGAAGCATCTCATCTCCATCACCTTTATTTTCCTTTCAAGATCGGCTGTTAATGTCCAGGATTCGCAGGCATACAGGAAAATGGAGAGGACTAATAATGACACTGATTAGCATTAGCATGTTATAAAAATAATCCAACCCCCCCTCCCCCCCATGTGAATTATGTGCCCGCCTTCTAGCACGCCTAAATTAGGAAAAGTAAAGTACTGTAAAGGGTAAAGTTAAAGTTAAAAGTAAAGCAACAATATAAAAACATGTGCCGGGTGGTAAGGTAAAATTAAGGCCAAGGCTTAAGATATGAAATTTAAGCACGATTAATTATTTCTAGTGATATAAAATTAAAACTTCCTCTTCACCTGATGGAACTAAAGGCCTAAAATAGCGTCTTGTTGTTCATGTACAATATCCATTTAACAAAATTGAACAAGATAAAAAAAAAAGGTAGCCTACAGTTACAGTTCATGAATCTTTTGTTATTTACGACGCCACTGTGGGAAAAACAAGGAGAACTCTTCTGTCTTCAAAGATACGTTATAAAAGTTGCCCAATTGGATATATTTAGATTTAAATAATTTTTTAAAACATTTTATAGATCTATCTACGTTGATATTTATTTATTTATTTAGGCATTTTTATATAGCGCTTACCTTAAAGCTCTAAGCGCTTTACAATTATTAAAAACATGTAAACTAAGTAAAATAAAAATGAGACACTAGAATAGTAACTACTATACTATAGAAACAATTAAAATGGTTATAAAACGAGGACACTTTGGCACGTTTTGGCCTATTCTAGCCCACTCTGTATCCATGCACAGCAATGTAAAGGTGGTACTCGCAAGGGACCTCAATATCAGGGGGCGCATTCGCCCAGGGCGCTGCTTTTCCTTTACACGGTTGTGCATCCATTTCGGACAGAACGCGGCTCGAATTTTGAGGGTGGGGGCAT